GCAAACAGCAAAAACAGTGAGAATAAAATGGGATGAAGAACATTAACAGATAAATGACAAGGCAATCACCTGACTTAATTCCACTAAATTCTTCAAGAGTTTAAGAGGGAAAAAATAATGGAGATATGGACCAAGTTAATTGGTACTGGTGAGCTGCTGCTCAGCCTGCAAGATTAGTGTAAGGGACTAAAGGACAGGATTTTTAATTCCAACGTATTTTAGACTGTCTTCCATCCTTTTGCCTCCATGTACAAATATGCTCTGGAGATTTGACCAGCTAATCTGTGAATAAAATTATGACAACATCTGTCATCCTGCACCAAAAACCCCCAAAACTAAAACACCCACCCAAAAAACAACAAACCCCAAATCCCCCAAACCAGCTATTGAGTGTTTAGCACGGTTCAAAAAAACTTAAAAAAAACTGTCAAAAGGTGATTCAGACAGTGAGTAATGGAAAGATATCTAATAAAACATTAGATAAAAGGGGTAAAAAAAAAATATTCATTCAGATATTAAGGCAAGACACCATTTTAATAGCATCTAAACAAAGGGGCCCTTTCTCAATCCATATCCTTACCATGTGCAACCAGAGCACATAAAGCCTCTCATTAATACATAAAGTTCAAAATCAAAATTAAATTCTTTGTTCCCATTACTTCTATTAAAATGTTTTTCCAATGACCCTACTAAGACTGAAAATTAGTAATCAAACTACTTTAGTTATTTCATATACATTTGTACTTTCAGCAGTAGCTGACCATTTTCCAAATCTTCCTGCAGCCCTGCCATTATTCTGTATTCCAAGTTTATGTACAGAGACCAGTTATATTCTCTCTTTCCTTCAAATTGTAAGGGTAAACAAGGTCTAGTCTTTTAGCTTCCTTCCCTGTTTACCACTAGGGAGTGAAAAGCTTAAGTAAAATAATCAGAACAATAAATAAATAAGATGTTATCATTTTCCTAATCCATATTAGGCATGCTATTAAACTCTGATATTACAAATTGAAAAAGGATTTAAACACTTTGTCAGTAAGTTCCCCATAGTAAAATGAGTCCCTGTGTTGATGGTTGTGTTGTACTAATTAAACAGCTTTAACTAAAATGGTCAGAAGTACGCACAAGCTGTTTATCACTGCTGCCCTTTGAGCTGCACTATCCTCTAAGGACACGCGACTTTAGATGCGATAATTACTGACTTCTTACATTTTTACTGAAGAGGCACAGAAGAGTTCCAACAGAGAATTTCACATTAATCAGAAAGAACAGGGTACTTATTAATAATAAAGCCATGATTATAATAGAAAAAAAAACATTTATTCAGTTCAACATTTGTAGGTACTAATTCCAAGAACTGTTTAAATTGATATCAGGCAGAAAGTTTAGTCTCATCTCTCTAGGGAAATTTGAGAAAATTAATCATTTATCTGAAGCATAAGAAATGCTAAAGACTTTTAACTATTCACCCACAAACAATAGCTTATCCTCCATTCTTCTGCTTCTTAAGAGCTCAACAATTTCTCTGACATCTTTTCTTCTTACTTTTTTAAATTCTGATGGAAGTTATTCTTCCATGAATTGGAAATATCTTCAAACAGTAACACCAAAGACTTACACAAGAGTACGACTATTACTCTTTAGGGAACTCACTTTTAACTTAAGGGCAAAATATGGACAATTAATGGAATTACACTTCTTGGGTGCCTTCTTCAAAAGTACTCTCTCAAGTTACAGGAGCATAAATACATGGTTCAGAAAAGCTAAGGATCTCAGTTTTAATACTAAAATTTCTATGAAATTTAAACATCTTTCAAGGGTAGTAGAAGAAAACAATACAAATAGACCCAACTGCGTAACAGTAGCTTCCTATGAAAAAAAATGTGCCACAAAGGGTACCATCCCAGCAGTTACACAATTTATCAGACTGCGACTACATAATGGAAAAAATCTCCTTATTAATACAACACACCAAAGAAAATTAATTCTTGCCTAGCAAGATTTTTGTGTATCTTCCACTTACTAGTACAGAAGCAGAAATTCAGACTGCACAGTCAGCATTTAAAAGCTACAAGCTGTTTCAGTCAATTAATTTTTTGGCAAGTTGAATCTTGCACTAACTGTGGCCTTCAAATAAATATTAGATTAAAAATACTCAATATGCACTAGCACAAAAAAATTAGGAGCCTTCAGGGGATTTTACAGATGTATTTTAGCTTTAAAGTTTATAGATTCTTTATTTTGTGTGGATAACCAAAGCATAGTAAAACAGTAATATCAAAGTGATGCAGGCTAAGAAAATTTACTGTTTCATCTTTTGTGTATGTTTATATATACACATATATAAAGCATGTTTGTTCAAACTTATGGTTTAACTAGACCACTACTTTTATGCATCACAAGAAACTTAGGATTCTGTGCACAGAATGGCACTATAGTACTATGCGGTATTCACTACAGTCAACTAACCAATACCCTCAAAATTCTAAGTCAAAAATATTTACCATAACAAAAGCTTATTAGAATGTCCTAACATTTTGTTGATTTTTTAAAAATTTCTCTTGGTAAAAATATTATTAAATATACATCAGAAAACCAGTTTCTGATCACTTTTCTCTGAGCAACTTTAGGTTTATCCAACTTTATACCACTTTATATCTTTGTAATGCATACAAGACAGTCAGTTGGAAGAAAATTATGGCAATAGAAAGAATCAACTAGATTTATCTGAGAAACTCACTCTCATAGTTTATACAGCATGTCTTTCCTACATCTGGTAACAACTAAATTAACTGCTGAATATGAGTAAAAAGTTTCATATACCGCTGTGAAAATTCTCTCTTTACACACAAATTTATCTTCACTGGTGAAATTAATACTTATCTGTGAATTTTACACTTTTTTTTTTTTTTTTTTTTAGTAAGTTGGAATCACTGTACTCCAGACCTTCTGAATGCTGTGCTGGCCTACATTCAAAGCAGGTTACTTAATACCTAACTTGCAGAAAGATTCTGGAAATGGCCTACATACCTAATCACAGCTTTTTATTTGTATGCAGTGGTATATTCTGGTTATTAACCAATTATTAAGGCTGGGCAGATCCCATTCCAAGTAGCAATGACCAAATACAGGAGCACACAGAACATCAGCCCTGGCTCCCCAGTGAAGCTCGAACTGCCAGGTCCCACCGCAGCAGCAGAAACTTCCCATTTTCTAGCACACACTTCACATCATCTCACAAGAGCCAACAGCCTTTTTATTCCAGGTCACATGCACACAAATCACAAGCTTCTCAAACTTCCGAATGCCTAAGGGTTTATTAAAATAAATTAGTGACCACTTCAAGGCCATTCTTCTAAAAGCAAACAAAGAGCTAGCAGTAGCTAGTGAAATCATTTCTTTGTCAGAAACTAGAGACAAACTCTTTCCTGCTCATTTACACTATGTATGATAATTAACTGGCAGTGAAGAGCTAAGCTGCTAAACCCTGATTTCTAGAACAGCAGCTTAATAGTTAAGGGAAATCCAACACCTTTTTTCTTACACTCAATGCTCCTACAGCAGGCATCAAGCTCTGTAAAAACTACAGCAAATAACTTTGGCAACTTTTCACAAAGGATACATTGTCAAGTTATGAAACCAAAGCTTCAGTAACTAAGAAATGTTTTAAAAAGCCACTAAGCAATATAATTCTAAGATATCTGGAGGTATTAAACCCAGAGCTACTTACATGGCTCTGTGGAACAACTGCATAGGACAATTGCTCTCAAAAATCTGAAACTGGTTTTGGTGTAGGGACACGTACATACACAGATGTATACAGACACACATATGTTTAATTTGGAAGAAAAACACAATACAAGGGGAAGAGAGATGTCCTTAGTGCCAGTCAAATTGCTTTAAGACTTTTCCCAGTACAGGTGTTTTAAACTCAAAGCAAAAGAACTACATGAAAACTTGAAAACTGAGAAAAGACATTTGTCTAAGTATTCAGTTCTGAATAAGGACTTGCACTTAATTTTCTTAATTAACCATGGCACGGCGAGGTTTATTTAGAGGTCTGTATGTTCTAAGCAGCACAGAAATAATAAAACTCCATTTGGAGAGCTTAATCTAATTAAGCATACAAAGAAAAGCCACGGAAATACACAAGTGTTACCTCCATTTTTGCTGTTCTGTCCTTTCTTCCACTTTATATCACTTTAATGTGCAAATCCCTTACTTGGACCCTGCACTCCTCTACTGCAACAGAACCTGTAAATTCTATCTGGAAAGAAGAACATGGTTTCTTATTTTGTCACTGATCAATGAAAACAGTTGGAGGTAGTTGGGGTAGACTGGTAGATTTTGAAAGCACTGTTCTTCCCCAGTAGTTTTTAGAAACACTTCAGATCAGATGAATTCAAAACAGTTCTAGTTAAATGAAACCATTCTCCTCCAGAAGGTGAGTGCACAATGGAACAGAACACCCCACGGAGTGCACAATATTGACAGGCAAGCAAAGAGTTTTGCTTAAGCAGGGTTGGGAAAGAGGAGGACAGGACAACCAACCCTGAGATAAAGACACTTCTATAAGCAACAGAACTAGTTATACAGGTATGGGACAAATAGTAATTGAGACTAAGTACAGTCTCCAAAAGGTGTTTAAAGGGCTCCAAAGCATTCTGCAGCTGACATAGAGACACACCAAGAAGAAAAAAGCACCATCCCAAGAACTACTTTCCTCCTAAAATTCACTTCACAAGTGTCTCAGGATGGAAAACACTTTGAACAAGATAATTAGGATCTTACATCTAAGGTTTAACAATCCATACTAGTTTGGTATTTAACACAACCTTCTTCCACTCACACTCACTGCAAATCAAGCAAAGTGGAACACACACTGATTCCCTAGTATCCAAAGCAACTCAGCGTGATCCAAGGGTAGCATCACATGAAATTTACATTTAAAGACGACCACAAGGATCAAAAAATTATTTAGGGACTAAAAAAGACATACTTACATCTGGATATTCTTTTACAGGCACATATAGTTTCTCTTGTAACTGTACAATAGGTCCCACAGCATCTGGTAATTCTGCACTTCTCTTCTCCGTACTACCATTTAATGTGTCGTTATACATGTCTTTCCGTACTCTGCTAATTTCTGTGGGGGGAAAAACGTATATTAGCCATTAAATACAGTAACATATTATAATCTAACATGACAATCTTCTCTTTTTATTATTTCCCAAATCTCAATGCCATTTTCTTCCTCTTCTCATGAACATCACAGTAGCTGAAAAATCTGCTCTGGTTTTGTCTATTTTCTTCTACTTTGTTTGGGGATTTTCAACTGGTTTTGGTTTTGGTTGTTTTTTTTTTTTTAAATTGCAGCACCCATCTTTATATGTCTTTCATGTCTGTAAATTTGCTGCCTGCCTACTCATCCTGTTTATGGAATTCAGCTATTGAAGTAAAAATTACACGCACCTCCTAAGAACACTTACAAGATTGCTCACATCATTTATAAGGTGCATAAAAACAGTTCTTTTATGTTTTTTTAATAATAAAGCAGCTAGAAAGCCCCCCAAAAAATAGAAATCTGTGCCCAACATAAAAAAAAGAAAAATGCATCTATGTAGTATTTTTGCTAGTTATGGGATTAACTACAGATTGGAAATTAAATGGAGCATCTTTTATCTGTGGGAAATAGGACAACTTAATGGTGCAGCTCATGTACGCATGGTGTGACAACAAACTGCTAGATATTGTTCGACTGACTACCCCCAAAGAGACAACAAAAATAACAAAGTCAAGTGTGTTATCAGAAACCTGGGCAAGCTCTCTGTGCACCCAGAAGCCCTGCTACTTCATTTCAAAGTAATGAAAAACTCCTCAAGAGCACCAGGGAATGCTGAGGGTGAGGGTGAACTTTTAGGTGCTGTTTGTACCATTTGCACCTGTGTTACTCACACCTTGATGTATTTATTTGGAAGAAGCAGTTTAGTAGTTACAAACAAGGTAGTTAAAAATGGGTAATTTAATTAAAATCTACATTAGTGTCGCTAAGCTATAACAGTCTGAAAATGAGCACAAAACTTCCTTTTGTTTAACCAAAAAAGACATTTCAAAGAAGTTACATTTTACTTCTCTATCTGTTGAACATGGTATTTAAATTGCTGCTACAAGAATCAGAAGTTTCACATTTCATAACTTATGGAGTCCCAAATAGTGTAAAAATCTTCTATATGAGTTTATTTCAGTATCACTGAAGAACTACTTAAAATTAATGTATTGATCAAGTTTCAAACCAAAAACTAACATTTCAACAGGTTTGTTCCCAAAGCATAAGACTGACAATAGCATGGGCTGTAAACAAAGCAATCAGTAAATCTGGTCCTTTACTTAGAATTGCAACAATTGCTTTCAAAACACCCAGAATAAAACATGACACTGAAAACAGAAATCTTATGTTTTCATCTAAATACAGGAAGCCACAGAAAGAAGAAGTCACTTGAAACTCTAGCAGCAGACAAGAGATTAATATAACCTCTGTTTCATAATCAGTTTCTTCTCTGGCAAATGATTAATAGGTGAGATTTCACCACCTGAAAAGCTGTGGGGTGGGGGAGAGCATGAGAAAAGAGACATCTCTGAACTGCATATTCAAGAACAAGTTGTTTCTCTGCTGGAAACTGACACAGTCATGTGTGCTGTATCATGATGTGGTAGTTAACTCCTGTTTACAGTGGGGAACAGAAATTTTGTCACCATATAATCATAATGGAAGGGAAAAAAATCCTCATCTCCTTCTACACAGACAATCTTGGCAATGAGCACAAATTCCTCAGAACTACAAGCAGTATTTATACCGGCTTCAGTATATAAAGAAATTCTTTAGCAGAGCTCTTTGAACAAATTCTACTATCTTTTGGCATACTTTGTTCCCTTTTCATTCTCTTCTGATTTCCCATTAATTTACACTACACTGAAACAAGCTAGGCAGTCTGTAGAAGCACTGAAGCCTAAGTAGCAACATAGCAATTTTTATTTATAGTTGGCAGCTACTGAGTAGCCACACCAAAATTTTCCTTTTAAAATCTATCTTTCATGCAGAATATAATCATTAACATTGGATATCATAGTCTTCACAGGAGAAAACAAACTTTTATTTTGACTTCTCCTTTGTACATTCAGAACATACACAAGTAGTATGAGAGCTGGCTTGAGGACTACCCCTCAATTTCAGCTTGTGTGAAACCTAAGCCATCTATCATGCCTCCAGCTTTATAGAGATTGAAGACATTCACCAACTCTGTGGAGTAGAAAACTCTACTACAGGACCAGACACCTGAACTTCAGTTTTCCTGGCATGTGTAATTGTTATTTTCTCTCTCTACATCCAAGCCAGCAGTAATGATAACAAACATCAGGCCAGGGACAGTCACCTACAGCAGTCAGCAACATCATCTGCTCCTCAAGTGTTACCATTTCTTCTGCTTCTTGGAATTTTACCTTCTCTCTTGTCTTAGATACTTCCTCCAAGACCTCAGAAGAAACACTCAGCAGCAACAGATGAAATAACAGGCACATATTCCCAGTTTTCTTTAACTGCTGATCCAGTCTCCAAACTTCACTTCTGCACAACACATTATCTATGAAACTCTCCACTTCTCTTCAATTTTACTGAACTGAAGGACTACTGCTTAAATGATAGAATAGTTAGATCAAATCTCTTGGTCAACCACTGTTTCTCAATCCCAACTATAGATGGAGTACAACCTATTTTCTTTCCTAAGGTACTAGTGAAGCTGACCACAAGCATTCTCTCAAATTCACAATTCATTAAGTTATCTGTTTGATATGCCTCCTGGGTTGGTTTTTTTTCATGACTAACAGTTTTCTCATGCCTGCCTCTTATTTAATCACACCTCTGGTGCCTCAACAAGACTCCATACAAAGTATAGAATTTTGATGACATAACCTCTCCTTTTATGGTCTCCATCACACCCAATTCAAGATTCCAGTCTCTTTTGCAACTCTGCCACTCACTTTAGGCAGTTATGTGTATTGACAGAATAATGTGGTACTGTATTTTCAGCACTTCCCTCAAGTTTACCAGGAGTTAGTAAGGTTTCAGAAAGCATCACCAGCAGCACATTAGAGGAGATAAAAGCTCTGCTTTCTCAAGCTGCAGCAAGTACCATTTTATTCTGTTCTGAAACACATTAAAATACCTAAAAATCTGAGGAGCAGTGCTAAAGTAGGAAGGTCAAATCCTCCAAGCACACCTTTTTATTTTTAGCATTGAATTCACATATTAAAAAAAAAAAAAGCCAAGGCAACAGTCTTTTATTTAGACTTATTTCACATTTCTGACACATTACCAAGTAGGTCTTCTCTTGCCCAAAAGCTTCTTTGGTATGTCTCTCCTGATATCACACTTTCCAAGTTCATTTATAAAGTTTTAGCTCCTTCACATTTACAATTCTTTAGATTCTTCCCTCTCACAGAAAGCCAACTGATTCAAAAATAAGGAAAGCTTTACTTTCCAAGCGAAGATCTAAGTACAATTCTAGGTACTTTACCTCTGTCTTAATGCTGCAGTGGTAATTGCATTGTATAACACTCTAAAGATTTAACAGAGTGTTAGTAAGAAGAGATACTTATAACAGCAGATATGACTGAAAAAAAAACCCCAAAGGCATACAGCAGCTTCCCCATATCTCTAAAACCTGTGAGTTCTGCCAATGCATTAATAGGTTTAAAGGATATACGTTCCCATCCCTACTGTAGGCAAAAGCAGAAACTCAAAGAACTTCAAAACCCACAATATTCACCTGTAACAATACCCTGATCTATACATTCAAAGTAATAAGTTTAGCAGTAAATGACAAATTTGTCTTGCTCACAGCAGGGTAGTGGAGAAATAAATTTAAAAGAAGAGACACACAGTGGTTTCAGTATCTTTATCTTGTTCCACCTTAATTCAGCATGACCTAGTTAGCCATGGTAGCAATGATATGCATTCTGGTCCAGAGGACATTTTTATTCCTCTGTCCCTGAAACTATACAAGTAACATAATCTTTTGTTTCCTTTATCTACAGAGCACATTTTTCAATTTCTCTAATACCTTTCTAAGATATGTTTTGAAGCAGGATATACTGTTTATACTGCGTACTGTTTATACTGTCTACAGGTATGTACAGTTTTGATTTCTTCATTAAACTTAGAGTATTATTCCCCCTAGAATGCACAAAGACCAGTGTTCATGTGAGTGCCATGACATTAGACACCATCAAGAAGTTACTCATTTTCAGCTGTCAATTATTCCTTCAGCGGAAGTGAGACTCTGCACATATGTTTAAGACTGATGGGTTGCAACATAAAATGGGTTTACATAAACCATTCTGCAAGAATATTCAAAGCAGGAAATCACTGAAAAGATTCAAATCCTTCCTGTCCCACCACTTTGCAAACCCCTTTCATCACCAGCGGCCACAGCTTTACTATTTCTCACCGTGAAAGCTTCTTCTACATTAAAAAGTTTTATCTTTTGGAAGAGGAGCAGACTTACTGTTTTTAAATTGATGCATTCCTCACTGTAGTTTAAGCTAGAACTAAGAATTTGAAGAACTAAAATAAGACTAAGACCATGTTAAGTCATCAACACACACAGAATTTTATTTTTGAAACTAACAGAAGAGCACCTTAACTATCATTCCTTGTTTTTACAATACACAGCAAGTGGGGCTGGAACAATCCAATAGTCAAAATCAGCAAGAGATGCAGAATTAATCAAAATACTAATCATCTTCTAACACCAGCAGGCATGCTTCCTTAACCAAGTGAAGCACCAGGCTTTCAAAGATTCTCAGGCACAAGCTAGTCTCCATACGAAAAAATAATAAAGTTAGGAGCGAATGCTTAAAGTTAAAAGTTTTAGAGTTATGGTAAGAATAACAGCTATGTTCATATAGCTAAAAATCTACATGGTAGTTGGATCTCACTGATGCATAAAACATCAGTTTCAGTTTTCTACTTTCTCAGAGAAATCAAGTTATGCCCAAAACATCAACGACATCAAAATTTTTACATGCAGCTTAATTTTATGTGCTTTGACAGGCAAAAATAATTCTTATATTTTTTTTCTTACAGAATAT